ATTCTAAAAATAATATATATATATATATATATATCAAGCCTCTCTCAACATAAAAAATATATATTTTATTTTTAGGCTTCCATTTTTTTCATTATTAAAAAAAAAAAAAAAGTACATGAAAGCTTCTTTAGAAAGTTGTCTCAAAAGAAAGCTTCTTTATTAGAAAGTAGTGAGAAGAATCTAATAAATTTGTGTTCACTTAATTTAAATTTCATTAGAAACACTTAAATGCTAAGGAATGGTTCAGAATCAACCAGAACCGTTTAATAAAGTATTTTGGCTAAACTTATGAGAATATCATTAAAAAATGTAAAAAAAAAATCATATTATTCTCATGTAAATGAATTAAAGTTTGAGAGTTTAATGATAAAAAAATTTCTAGAGCTTGATTTGATGATCGATGCCAACTAACGTCATTATAAATTAATAATTATCCTCCAACTTTCATTGCTCGATAGTCATCTCCTAATTACTGTTGTTGTATGACTATTATCTTTTGAATATGAGAGACTTGCTAATATAATCACAATAGGCTAAGCTAGCATTCAATAGTTTAGGGTTTCCTATTTTCTTTTATTGAGTAAAGAATCTAATTTTTTCAAAACTTATTTATGTAGTAAATTATTTTAACAAGGCAAGGTCATTTTATCTATTTTTGGGGTTTCAACATAAACATTTATTGATATTTGCGATAGATAACAAAGATACCAAAAACATAACTCTTTCTTGAACCTCTTTCTTTTTTTATTTCTTGCTTATTTGTTTTTGTAACTTTTAGAGAGAGAGAGAGAGAGATTTAAAGTAAGGAAGAGAGATTTATGAATAAACATTGAAAGAGAGAGAGAGAGATTTATATTATGGTGGCCATAATCAACCACAGGGATGGAAATCGATGTTGAATTTTATGGACGATCAGGTTTGTTGTGTGGACAAGAGACAAAGAGATAGTTGTTATGATCTTATAATAGTAAGATGAGTAAAGTAAAAATTATTATGAAGGTGGTGGGCATTTGGCCTTACAAGTAACTCAATTATGGATTCTCTCTCCATAATATCTCTACCTATTTTGCATTACATTTTTTTCTCCCTCTTAATTTGAAGGATTCTTATTTTAATTTTGGTATGCGAACTCTTTGGTTTCATCACGGGGAGCAGCACAATAATTTTCAAGCTAAAGATTAATAATTACCATTAAAAATTTTCAGTGTAGCATAACAAGATGAGATGGTACCTTTTAAAATGATGCTTTGGAAAACCCTTTTGCATAAGTGATAGCATTTTCATAACATTTAAAACTTTCTCATTGGACAAATCAATACCATAGTCCATCTTCACATCATACATGATCATCTATGGCTTCTATTTATGAACATATCCAAAGAGATTCTCCTTGATTATATGTCTTTTGAGCTTGTCAATGGTCTTTTGATTTAACATCCAAAGTGCATGTGTGTTATGAATCAAGGCTCCTATTCTCATATATATAATACATAATAATATCATTGGAAAATGATAACCATAGCTATTGAAGTCTTCGAGGAATGAAGACACCTCACTTTATTAGTGTGGTATTCTTATCCTCTTGAACTAAAGAAATCTTGAACAAAAATAGGAAGAAAAAAAAAACTAAGTATAGAAGGACGAGATGTCGTTCTCTCTATATAGTAAGGATATATAATAAAAAAGAGTATTTAGGTATATTTCCACGAGAAAATTTATATTCACTCTTCATTATTTGAGGCATATAAATAAAATTTTCTTTTTAGCTTCATGTTTAAATGAAATCTCTCTCTCTCTCATCATAAGAGAGAGATAGCGTGAGAGAGAGAAGAGAGAAAATTTAGGAATCAAAATAAGTCATATTATATATGAAAAGAGCTTTAAAGCTCACCTGCACAACAGTGAAAGTAAAACAGAGCAAAGACAAAGGTGAAGGGAATTCCGTGGTTTTTCATTCCTTTCTTTGAACAGTGCCATACATCCCTATATGTAGTTGTAAAATATATATGTAATGATAACAGAAAGCATAAAGGTAATAATAGAGAACGTTCTCTGCCAAAGCAGTCAGCAGATTTCTGCACAAGCAGCTGACACGGGATAGTGGAATATCACTTTGTGTTCTGCTCAGCTATGGAACACGTTAACAATATAGCATCAATAAATGATTTTGACACACATCATCAAAATTAAAAGCACAATAATTAATATATTTTCAACAATAAACAATAGAAAAAACCAAGGCCAAAATGTGCAGCAGCTCCTGTCAATAGATCCATCTGCATTCACCTTGCCCGTCACCATTAACACTATTCATTTTAAGAAGAAAGCCGTGACCGACTGCGACCAGCTTGAAGAGAAGAGCTAGCGGGTGGAGGGCTCAGGATTGCCTTCATTGGAATCACATGGCGGCAGAGGACCATTTGAACTTGGAAAAGAAGGTGTCGCTTCATTGACAGGCCTCATGCTGATACAAAAATTGGAGAATCTACACCTCCAAATATTTTCATCATCTGTAACACTCAAAGAACTTGTCGACGCCGGTGGTTGGCTTCCCGGTGGTGATTGGTTCTTCTCTCTTGGCATAGCGAATGATTGGTCAGCCTCGATGGCTTCATTAAAGGCTCTTCTCCACGCCGCCGGTTGGTTTCCTTCGCCAGACGCGTTGCCGTTGCCGGAGGTAGAGTGGCAGTCTGAAGCTGAATGGCTCCCGCCGCTTGACATTCACCGAGATTTGATTGACGACCACGACGTACGACGACGAAGAAGAAGACGACGGGACGACGGGATAGAGGCAGCTTGAGCTTGTTTGGATCGTTTGGTGGAAGGAATGGAAGGAGGAGTAATGTAGAGAAGAATTGCGTTACAATGTGCAGAAGAAGCCAAGCCTATTTTTTTCTATTGACCGTTATAATGCTTGCTATACTTTGCTTTATATGTGGATGTGGTCATATGGATATTTTTGTCATTCTAAAAATAATATATTCTTTTAATGATGAGTGAGCCTCCAAAAATAAAAATAAAAAAATAAAAAAAAAATAAGCACTCTAAACATAATATCACAAGTTCTTTTGAAGTAGATGACAAATATCATACAAATTTATTGATTAATATCTCAGAAAAAAAAAGTTTATGGATCAATTTGATGAGGACGATATTACGAATATGGAAAAAGAGGACAAAAACTTAGACAAATAATATAAAATTAAAGATGTTCAAATAATCAAAGGATTAAATTTAATAGACCCACATGGAATATAGAAGGAAGGCTAACAAATATATATGGTAGAAAAATATTTGATCTAACATGCAAGCTCTATAATGTATGATCAATTTTGTATTCTCTATCAAATTAATAATTTGTGCATACACATTGCATTATTGCTTATGATCATAATGTAGCTTCAATTGAATTTTCATGAGAATAATGCGTACGTTTAATCTTTTCAAAAGATAAGATTGAAAAGAAAATCATGCAACAATTTAAAATTTATGTCGTAAAATGAAATTTGAATGCATTAATTTAGGCTTCGTTTGAAATGATTTTTGTACTGCTTATTAAAACAACTAAAAATTTTGAATTAGAAAGAAGTTCTAAAAAACAATAAAAAAATAGTCCCAAACGAAATCTTAATTCATGATTTTAAGGTTTCATACAATTTTTTTTTTAATAAAAAAATTCATGAATTTCAAACTTCGAGTGAATGATAATTGATAGACTTATTCTTTCTTAAATATATATATATATATATATATAAATATCAAATTTTCCTACCCTTCCATGGCCCCAGGCCCCCAACGGATACTTCAAACATTCCAACGTTCCTCTCTAACGGTCGAATGCGCCCTTGCATCATTTAAGACTGCAATCTCTTCCCCTTCCGTGTTACCCTCTCTCTCTCTCTCTCTCTCTAAGCCCTCTCGTTTCCTTTCTCACATTCGTCACCATATTTGTAGAGCAAAAGACAATGCTTCAACAAGAGCAATGGAGCATGGCGGCTCAGACGGGAATCAGGCTTTCAAGATCGGCTCCTTCTTCTCCTCTGAAACCCATCGGCAGGACCAAGTCAGACACTTTCCACATCGCCCACAAAGTACCAGTCGGAGACACTCCTTACGTGAAGGCCAAGAGGGTACAGGTAACCATTCAAAATTTCTTCTTCTGTCCAACCAATACCTAAACGAAACTAAACAGTTCATAATTTATTTCTCCCTATTTGAGAATTTTAGCTTGTTGAAAAAGATCCCGTGAGAGCAATAGCCCTCTTCTGGGCTGCGATCAATGCCGGAGACAGAGTCGACAGTGCCCTCAAAGACATGGCCATTGTTATGAAGCAACAGAACCGAACAGAGGAAGCCATTGAAGCCATCAAGTCCTTGAGAAGCCGCTGCTCTGATCAGTCCCAAGAGTCCTTAGACAATATCCTTTTAGACCTTTATAAGGCCTGTTTCTCTCCCTACCTCTATCTCTCTCTTTCTCCTCTCCGAATCCTTCTCAGCTCTTAATTTTCATTCAACAGAGATGCGGTAGACTAGACGATCAGATCGCTCTGCTAAGGCACAAACTACTGCTCATACAACAGGGTCTAGCTTTCAATGGGAAGCGAACCAAGACTGCTCGCTCTCAAGGGAGGAAATTTCAGGTCTCCATCGAACAAGAAGCTACTCGTTTACTGGTAAAGATTTCCATTGAACAAGAGGACCCACTGTTAAAAAAACCAAACATTTTTCAGCTCTCTTCTTCTATTACTTCTTTGCCTTCATCTTCAACTTCTCATATGATAGAAATGTATCGACGGCAGGGGAACCTGGGCTGGTCTCTGATGCAGAAGGAGAACTATATTGAAGCTGAAGCCGCATACCGAAAAGCTCTAATGATCAGTCCAGACAACAACAAGATGTGCAATCTGGGAATTTGTTTGATGAAACAAGGCAGAATTACAGAGGCCAGTGCCACTCTCAAACAGGTCAGACCAGCCGTAGCTGCAGATGGTAGTCGAGGTGCTGATTCCCATCTAAAAGCCTTCGAAAGAGCACAAGAGATGCTTCGCGATCTCGAGTCAAAGATGATGATTCAGGGCAACCAGGCCAGCAACTTCTTTGAAGCTTTCTCAGGCTCTTCATTGATTTGGCAGCCGCAGCCCTGCATTGACCATCACCAAGAGTGCTTTGCTGATGAAAATTTACAGATTTCAAACACCAGAAATAATCTTAATGTAGACGCACCTCCATTTTATTCGAAGATCAGGACTGAGAAGCAACGGGAAGAGGGATTGGGCAATCTAAAGAGGACGAGATCAGGAATTTTGAATGAAAAGCCTGTAATAGAAAATGCTGGAGGGAAGTGGCCGAAGTTGCCGGAGGAAGATGAGTTCCAGGAGGCCATGGTGGCAGCGGTGCTGGCTCCGGTGATTGAGAATGGTGGTTGTGGAAGCCCGGCGTTGGGAGAGGGGAAGATTGGCAAGAGGCTTAGAATTTTTAGGGATATTACTTGGAATATGAACGCCGTTATAGAATGAGATTTTCAAATTTTAACGGCTATGTATTGGAGATCCCCTTTTTCTCCTCCTGCTAATTTAGTTTAATCATCTGATTGTTTAATTTTAACTTATAAAATGGTGATAATAATAATAATATAGTGATTTGATTATTATTATTACATGAAATTGGTGAAGCCAACTTTACTTATAAGGAGCATTAAGGGGCTCTATTTGATGTGCTAGAATTGTAAATGAAAATGATTGAATTGAAATTATTTTCATCAATTTAATTGATTAAGGGGGAGATTAGAAATTGATTTTCTTTTGCTGTCTGATTGTTAAAATATTTTATTTTTTTTATAAGAAACACAAGGCATCATGAATCACAATCATGTCATAAAAAACATTATAATATAATTTTCTTATTTGTTTGTATAGGAAATTATCAATGAAAAAATTTCATTATTAACCTACCTAAGCTGTAAAATTAGAGAGATTATAAGTGTAAAATCCTCCATAAATTTGTGATATTTGATTTCAAGAGTTTGAAGCAAACATTTTCTACAAAAAAAAAAAAAAAAATCTATAGTTTAGATAAGTCAATCATTTTGTTTTTTGTTCACAAATTTGGGCAAAAAAGCCCACACATCATAATTTAATTTTGCTAGGAAATATTGAGTCAAAAATTTCTCAAACTTTAATGAAAAATACCAAAAAAAAAATTCACATTGACACCTCCCATGAAAAAAAAAAAAATTCTTCAACCAAACAAGAAAAAAATTTCATCAATTCCTTCATCATTTTCGTTTCCTCTCTTTCAATTCCTCAAACCAAACATAACAAAAAATTTTAGGATTTAAATCAGTAAATAGTAGAAGGAATTATATTCCATAAACCCACCACCAAAGCAACGAATAAAGAAACCCATCATCAAAAAAAGCAAATGGCAAAAATGCAGAAGGAATTATATTCCATAAACTAATATTCTCCTAAAAGCACCTAATTCAACACAGAAACTATATTTTTCAATACTGAAAGGCTCTCTCCCCCCTTCTTCCTATCTATCTCAAAAGGCAATGGGTTGTTGTGGTCAGAACAACATCAGAACCTCCTCTCCTCCTCCTCCAAACCCTACCAAGCTCAAATCAGAATTTATCCTGCAAATTCCAAATGCCAAAGTCACCCTCGCCGGCGATCCAGAAGCTGCCATCGAGCTCAGCCAAGGAGATCTTTCTGTATTTCATTTAACTGAAGATAGTGTTCCTTTAGCTACTGTCATAAAAGTTGGTAATCTCAGTTGGCCATTAACAAAAGATGAACCAGTTGTTAGACTCGACAAGCTTCACTACCTTTTCACAATACCAGATGAAGAAGCTGGTTTCTTCAACTATGGAGTCTCCTTCACTGCTGCTGCCGAGAATCACCTGGCTTCTTTTGATCAGTTTCTCAAGGAGAATTCTTGCTTCTCGCCTATTACTACTACTTCTCCTGCTGCAAAGATTAATGACTTGTACTGGAAGGATTATGCTCCAAATATTGAGGATTATAATGGAGTTCTAGCAAAGGCTATTGCTCGAGGGACTGGAGAGATAGTCAAAGGTATTTTTAAGTTGAGCAATGAATACAGTAACCAGGTTGGTGATCTTTTTTTGTTATTGTTAAGTTCATATAGATACAATTACTGCTTTAAAGAGGAAGCTGGACACAATTTTCAAATTTTTGTAGGTACAAAAGGGAGCCAGCTTAATCAAACCTCAAACTGGAGAGAGGAAGAATAATAATGGTGCCTCTGTGGATGGAAGCAGGAAGCCTGGAGGAATCAACAATACTCTTAAACGGTAATTAGTCATACTTGAAGTGATGGATATAACAATTATTCATGCAATCTGGTCTATCAAATTACAAAACAATTGGCCCTTCATATGTGTATCAATACCCTTGCAGAGGAGGCAAAGGTAAGGCTGATAGTTCACGGTCTCCTGATTAGTGTTCGTGGGCTCCGAAAATTCCATATTGTGCTCCGGCCTCTCCGCATCAGTATATTTTTATTTTTATTTTTATTTTTGTGAAGACAATAGAGAGTTTTAACAAGCTTAAGTTCCAGGTAAAATTTCAGAAAGTAGATTATGTTTTAGATAAGACACTACCTAGAGATTTCGCCCTCATTTTGTGAGGACTTGCTGATCTGAGTTTTGGTTTCTTATAAGCGCAAGCCCCTATAGTTAATAACCCCTTCCGATAACATGAGAGAACTTTTGATTAAGGCTAGTCGTTAAAGAGATCGTATGGATCATAAATTCAGTGTCCAATAGTAACAATTTTAGAGTTTGAATTTGATTTTATGATTGGAACTTATCACCAAAAACATAAAACAGTATTATGCAAGCTTTTTGTCAAGAGTTGTGGGCTCACAAATTGAGCATGATGTAATTTTCTAGTAGCCAAGTGAACCATCATAATATGTTATCATTCATGGTGGTCATAAGTATTTTGCATAGAAAAGGATCATAAACATTATGAATTTTAGGGCAAGGAAGCTGTCAATGATGACTGAAAAGCTGAGCCAGACTTTGCTCAATGGCGTGCTTGCTATGACTGGAAATGTGGCTGCCCCGTTGGTTCAGTCAAAAGCAGGAAAATCTCTCTTCGCTACAGTGCCTGGAGAAGTTCTATTAGCCTCACTGGATGCTCTCAGTAAGCCAACTAACTCCTTCAAGAAACAAAAACTTCAGTAGTAATACTAAACTGCAAAATCATTCTATAAAAGAATGACAAGTAATTGTTTTCCACGTTTATCATATATATATGATTGCAGGCAAAGTTCTGGATGCAGCTGAATTTGCTGAGAAAAGAGCTTTTGCAGCGACTTCTGGTGCTGTTACACAAGCAGTGTCTAAAAGGTATAACAGATGTGAAGTCTGATTTTGATACTGATATCAGGACTCAAAGTAGGATTGGCTCAATGTCATTTCACCTAATCTCAATCCCAATGTAACCATTTTGATCTTGTTTCGAGCCAGATTGTTAGTCATGCTCAGCAAGATAAGAATTTCGTTTTTCAAACAAGACATTGCTCACTAGTCAGTTTGTTAGTTTTCAATCATGGCTTGATCAGGAGATTGAATTTTCTAACATTTTTTAATCCGTGAATCAAATTTCATTATCCATTTCAGACATGTTAGCAGGCTATATCTAATTTATAATTTACTTGAAATTTCAGATTGGGCGAAAGTGCCGGAGAAACAACAGACGATGTGTTGGCCACAGCAGGACATGCCATTGGAACGGCATGGAATGTCTTCAAGATTAGGAAAGCTATCAATCCTAAAGCTTCAGTTACATCAAACATTATAAATAATGCAGCAAGGAAGAAATCCAAATGATTGAAGAAAAATATTGATTTTAAAAAGGAAATGTATAATTTCCTCACAAACTTATGTGGCTGGTGATCTCAAAAGAGAAATACTTGTAATTTCTTTGATGGTCTAGTTAACTTGGTATAAATAAAACAAAAAAAGTCATCCATAGTAAGAGATGCGCCATTGTCAGTTTTTTTTTTTTTCAAAAATAATAATAAACCAACTAATTTTAATTTTGTTACGTGCTAAGCAAATCCATACAAATAAAATATATAAATATATATGAGAGATATATGCTTATTTTAGTCTCTCCACTTCATGCACAAAAATAATGAGTTAAATATACATTTTTTATGTAGAAAATTATAGGAAAAAAAAATAAGAGGTACCTAAACTAGATAAAAAAAACTTGCATGACTAATATAAGTGGACCAGAGTATATCGCCGCCCAATCATGTGGAGGACATCACTACAGCATGCCTGCCAAAGTGATAAGAATAATACAATAATGCTACGAACTGTTGGAGAATTTTTGCATCCTCAAACGGATTGCATACTTTATCATCGAGTACGGCATAAGAACATGATATATTACCCCGAAGGATAAAAATATCATTTCCTTATGGACTCAATAACAAAATTTACAATTATTAACAGAGATTCCCCCACTCGATGTTTGGTCGAGCGGGGTTTATTTATTTCTGGGGTACAAACATCCCATAGGGGCAAGCCCCTATGGTTAATTACATCCCAAGTTTGATTTGGAAAAACTTTTGATTAAACTAGTGGTTTTCTTGTTTTGGAAGTCATTTAAGTGTTGGCTAAAAGTTTGATTTTTGTTGTTTTAAAATTCATAAAAGTCTTGCTTAAGGATTTTTTGCCTTTAGGAATTTCAAAGAGGAGTTGAATAGATCAACTAAGGATTAGATTCTGGGAATGAAAGCCGAAGGAGGTGAAGTAGGGGCACTTGATTCTGAGATGAAACTCAGAGGTGCCCAAACTATCCTATGTTGGGCTTTACATTTTAGCAACCTAATTTTGGTTTAAGTTTATATTTTATTAGAAGATTGAGGCTTACATCCCAACAACACTTGTTGGAGGAATTGCCCGAAAGGTGAGGGCTTATAGGGTGATTTGAAATCAACCCTTGCCTCGGACCCTAAGACTAAAGTGAGGACCACCGATAGGTAGTGCCTCGAACCTAAATCTAACGAGTGCAAAGAGGGACTTACAAGCTACACCTCACAAGAGACATAACCCGCCCGACTTCTGGATTTATTGTCCCGCCTGGAAGGGACTACCAGCTAACCCTCCTAATCGCTTTTAAAACCATGTCGTCCGGTCTCAATGCAAGTGTAGAGTGGTAGGGTTGTTTGGCCAAAAGAGTGTACTTCTCACTTTATAAAGGGTTCAAGGAAGGATCTTCCACCTCCCCCTATGATGTGTGACTAAAAAAGTTGCATACTTGCATGAATACTTTAGAATGTGAATTTGGGCTTATTTGGGCTAGTTGGGTTTCAATTTTTTTCTTAGTTGGGCTTTAAATTTTTGCTTAGTTGGGCTACAAATTTGGATAATATGTATTATAAATTTGCTATAATATATATTATAATAATTATGTTAAAATATTAATATTATAAATTTATATATTATATTAAATATTATTCTTATAAATATATTAAATTATAAATATATAAATATATTATTTTTAAATGATATTTATATTTATAATTTTGTATTATATTATTATATATATTTTTATTGAGTTGATCGAGCGCGATCGAGCTTTGTTGGGCTCGATCGGGGTCGAGTCGATGCGAAAATATTCGTCAACACGAACGTAAGTTACAATTGTTAGCTTTAGGTATGATAGAGGCGAGCGACGATATATGTGTCAACTTCTCCTAGCAATTTTAACATGTCAACTTCTCCTAGCAATTTTAACATGTCAACTTCTCCTAGCAATTTTAACATGTCAACTTCTCCTAGCAATTTTAACATGTCAACTTCTCCTAGCAATTTTAACATGTCAACTTCTCCTAGCAATTTTAACATGTATGGTTGTATCTGTTTGTATCATCAAAATGACCATTATGCATCATCAGTGGAAGAAATGAGTGATGTCAGTGGCACCTCTAGTTGACAATAGCGAGCAACAACACATCATTAGCGAAAAAAAAAAATCAAGCATTCGCAACCAACAGCGCTATCATTATCAACAGCCGATAGCTTTTCATCATCAAGCGACGACATATATATTATCATCGTGAGGCTTGAGTCTTCAACAACAAGTGACATGATATTCAGTAACCGGTGTAATCCTCCAAATTTTCTTTCTATTATGATAATATTCTAGCCAACCAAACATCCAAATTTTTAAAACCCTTGCATTTTTATGGTGGGCTCTTAAGAAATTTGTGCCCCAACTCCACTATGAGAGTTTAGATGTATTCCTGGTTAAAGTTTCATAGTGTATATTAAATTATAAATAAGACACTACCCTGAGATTTAGCCCTCATTTTTTAGGGGATTTTATAATTTGATTTGATGTTATCCATGGGTGTAAGCTCTATGGTTAATTACTCATACCAATGACAAGAGAAATTTTTTTATTAAGACTAGTTATTAGAAGCTAAGTGCTTAGCATATAGTAGAAACAAATTTGTTATAGAATTGAAAAAAATTAACTACATTAAACTTAAAGCGGATGTTGAGGGGAATAATGACGAACCCGATCAAGATCTCATTGTTCTATCATTCTAGCTAGGTTATCATGGACTCTAGTCAACTTATTAAGTGAATGTAGTCAACCTAGCCTAACCAAAAGAACCTTGTCGAGAGCCATAGGTTACTTCATCTAAAGGAACCCTGTAGACCTTAAGTAGATATCCGTCTAAGGGGGTATATTTAAGTTGACATTAACTAATAGAGAACTTTGTACTCTATTAAATGCATCATATAGTTTATTATTCAAATACTTTTTAGCCATCGGGAAACTTGTGAGCTTTGGCTATGTAAGTAATTTAGTAGTGTCATTTTGTAACAAGGCCACTTGATCATAAAAGTTCTAGTCATAACCATTCACTTGTTTATTCGGCGTCAAAATTATCAATTAGAGAAAACATGTTAAATTCTTTAAAAATAAATCATTATAGTACTCTCGATAAGACATTTGCTTTTTATAAGATGAATTTATTTTTCAATTTATTACCCTCGTCAAACGGTAGCAAAGGGAAAATGAATTTTACTCTAATCTTTAGGAAGGGGATTATTTCAATATTATATTTTACATTTTATATATATTTTAAAAAATTTATATCTTTTGATAGGAATTTGGGCTTCACAATAATTGATTTTTGGAATTTGGAGAATTTTGAAGATCAAGTCCCCTCTTATTGATGTTTTCTATTAATGGAGCCATCATCGGGGCTTTGAATGATTTTATTTTGTTATTCAACCCTATCAACTCTTTCTGCTTGCTAACTTAGGATCAAGTTTAAATATCAACTTTACAAGTAACCAAATGAGCATGATGACCGCAAGAGTTTATAATTTATAATGAATTTCTTCATAAAAGACATTGAAGGCTTAATGAAAACATAAAATTCAAGTGTCTTCACAGATTTTACAGCTGTATGTTCGTTCTTGATAATAGAATTTATGGTGAGCTATATATTTCATGAAGTTTAAGTTTCTTCAACTCCAATCCTTATAAGGAGGATCAGACTTGAAATATGGGGACTTGTAACTCTACCTTATAAAAAGGGCGGCTGAGAGCATGCTTATATATTGAAAGAAATTTGTAAGATTTTCAAATTATTGCATGTTTTTAGGGTAATTGGATGTTTCTCAGAGCAGAAGAGTTTATATTCATACTATTTTCAATCTATACCTTCTTAGGGTAAGCGTTTACAAACCTATACCTTCACACGCCAAGCAATGACGATGACAACATGGCAAGGTGATTAAGTTTACGGGTAAAAACACACACAGATACATACATACATACATATGTTCACTTTTTCTTTTAGAGGGAAAGAGAGATAGAGAGAGAATAAGAGGGAAAAGAGATAAGAAAAGAGAAACAGAGAAAGAAGAGAGAGAGATAGATTGAGCTAGCAAAAATAGAGAAAGAGGGGAAGAGGGAGGACAGAGAGAGTGAGAGGAGAAGATGAGAGAAAGACCGAGGCGATCATGCAAGAAGAACTCGCTTGTTTAAGGTGGTAATCTCAAAAAAGCTCACTTATACCAGAGGACTATTCCCCCCATCAGTACGAGATGCTCACCTCCCTAGGCTCAAGCCGCTCAACTATAGTGACTGTGCCTGCTTACTCGACACCTTGATTTAAGAGGTACTCATCAAGAGCAAAGCCAAATCGATATGATAGTGCATGTGTTCATCCTAATTAGTCCACATGTTTGTTACAACCAAATATTGTATTATTTTATTATTTTTTAGGTGTAGCCTTCTCAATCCTATAAATAAAAAATTTGAAAGTATTTTTGAGATTTTTCTAAACCACCAAAGCTTATGATATTTGAGTATAAATAAATTTCTTCTAATTCATTATCGATTTCTCTGCTTACCATCTTAGCTAGTCATGAAAGTAAAGTCAAGGAGTTTCCCACATGCAAATTTGGATTCAACAATATCATCAATTGCATAACAAAAATAAATGTCACAAATTTGTATAAATATAGAAAGCAAGATGAAAATCATGAAAACATTGATATAAAAGATGTGGGATAGAAAGATATAGACTATTATTTTTATATCAAAACAATAGATAACCTAAAAATAAAACAGACAAAAAGAAGAGAGGGACTTTCAAGACCAGAAGAAGGGGAGTAACAATGAAGGGAAGATTTTGAAGAGCTGATGTTAATTTTCAAATGTTTTTATATAATTTCAAGGCAAATATTTAATTCTAAGCCAATATCAAGGCTTATAATGCTTAAAATTAAATATAAGATGAGAGAACAAATAGGGAGAAGCGGAGCTGTGTAGAATGATAGCATAATAAGTTAAAAGGTGTTAAGTCCTAAGTAATAGTGGTATATATATCCCACAATACCCACAACATAAATTCCAGACATAGAAATGATCCGACGTTATGAAAAATAAAATATCAAAAGACCTTGTTCACAAGCCTTCACAACACAAGGGTCCCTAAAAAAAATAAATACAAAATAAAAAAATAAAACCATTCATATCCTACTACATAAGATCTAGACTAAAATAATGAAAAATACAATAAATAAAAATTGTATCCTCAAATCATTTTAAATATCAAGTCACCTAACATTTTAAGTAAAAGTATCAGCTCTACACACATGGTGTTTTAGCATGAAGCAGCAAATAGCTTCACCTTTTAAGAAAAAAAGGTCTCCAAATGCACTTGACCAAATGCAATATAAAAAACCTAAAATATATTTACCTTGATAAAAAAAGCTTCTAAAATGAGTCAAAAATTGATTTTAACTAGTTGATTCAAATGGTATTAATAATCCTTGTTCTTTTCTATCAAAGAAAAATAAAAATAATTCATATTTCAATACAAAATGAGGGATTAGTGTTTTGACTCTTTATTATTGCAGAAATAGGAAATTAAATAGAACAAAGTGCCACAACATTTTATACCAAGGCTTATTTGATATGAGACCTACAAACCCCATTTATGCCACCTCATTCCCGTACACCTCAATAGCGTATTTCCAGTTAATAACATTCCATATGTTCTTCAGATAATCCGGTCTCACATTCTTATACTGCAAAATGTTTACAGAAAGGATTCACATAATTAATTAGACATGCATTCATTAAAGCAGCAGAAAAAAATGAAAAAAAAAACACCACAAAGCTAGGTATGTCATTGATACTATAAAATTGCTATTTAAATATATAAAGATCATGATTTTGATACCTCAAACAACTTTAAAATTTTAAATAATTAAAAATACAATGCAGGAAAGTAATATAAAAAGATAAAATGGAGATTTATATACACATCACCAAAAAGTGTTTTATCTACAAAATTACAGCTAAGTTTTTAAAATGAACTATTGAAATCATAAATTTGAGCGCACTTCGAACAAGCAATTGAGAATGTAAGGAATGTGAAAAGTACAAGCTGAGGTTTTATTGTGCTCTTCAAGATTTAGATGATGTTATTGTAAATAGTAGTAGTTGAGTGTTAATTTTGTAAATAGATACCATAAAAGCCACATCTATAATAATACTATAAAGTTTCAAAAGTTGTTTAGCGGTTGTCTCATAATTGCAAGTGAATGAAGCAACACTTTCTAAATAAACTAATGCTTAAAATAAATTTTCTCCAATACATGAACCAGTCAACATGCATGCAATTTTTTTTCTATTATGTATAAGATGTGTAAAAAGATATAAAACAATTCATAAAATTTCAAGAAACTTTGAGATTATATTAAAGATTAAAACATTAATCATTGTAAATATAAGAGTTACAATTTAATAAGTATTTAAAATTTTATTGGACTAATAAAAGATAATGCCAATCAAAAAATCATATGGTTATTGAACTTGACAATGCGTTGAGTTTCAATTTTATTAACAAGATCTACAAAAATTGTTTCAATATATCATAAAATTGTACAATCAAGTTCATGACTCATTCATCTCAGCATATCTAGCAATCCATCAACTAATTTGATTTTTAAAGAAAATTATATGAATTATGTAAAAGAAAGGAACTCTATACATGCGGAATTAATGCAGTAAGTTTAAAAAAAAAAAAAAAGTTTATGCAAAATAGGCTCAAAAAACAAAATTGCCTCGTTACCTGGAGGTAGTAAGCATGTTCCCAAACATCAATTCCAAGCAAAGGAATGAAGTTCGTCCCCTTCGTAATAAGTGGATCCTGGCAAAAAACCAACAGAATAATAAATCAGTTGTATAAGGTTCTTATGGATGGCAAAACTATAGGATAATCTAATAAGCGAACATACAAGGTTGAAAAGCCACAAAAATTTAAATGTGGCAATTGAAAAAGTCAGTCACATAATTTCTTAGATGGTAGCAAACTAAAAGTGCATAACTTTGTGGTTAAAAAAAAATTATCTGCTGAAAATTAAAAGCAAAATGTAAAATTGAAACTTCGATTTAGAGCTGAGTCAAGCAAAGAAATTAATTGAGAGAAGGAAAGAAATGAAACGATGCACCGCCGATGAGGAAGACCCCCTTTGTCTCGATCCACGAGCCACCGCCGGACTTCAAGGTATAATTCCTAACTTAAATCCCGCCCTCGATGCGCTTGACGCGCCAGTGGACCCCCTATACGCGCTCTTGTAGCACGGTGGGAGGAATTCGGTGCGACATGTGCGACAGAAATGAAACGATGCACCGCCGATGAGGAAGACCCCCTTTGTCTCGATCCACGAGCCACCGCCGGACTTCAAGGTATAATTCCTAACTTAAATCCCGCCCTCGATGCGCTTGACGCGCCAGTGGACCCCCTATACGCGCTCTTGTAGCACGGTGGGAGGAATTCGGTGCGACATGTGCGACAAGGCGGGTAAGCCCTATAAACGCTCTTGTAGCGTGGTGAGGACGGTCCTCGACCTCGACACCGACACCGCCGATGACTGCTACGCAAATGTATGATGTTCCAAAATCCCATTCTCGACGTTTGCAGCGGACCGGGGAACCAACTATACGCGCTCTTGTAGCACGGTATGAGGGAGCCCGGTGCGAAGCATACAGCGAGGTGGGTGAGCCCTATACACGCTCTTGTAGCGTGGTGGGGAGAGCTACTAGTGTTTTGTACGGGTACTGCTGAAGGCCTCATACACGCTCTTGTAGCGTGGTGGGATGAAATTTGTACGGTCGCGGTGTCTAAGGACACCTACCATACACGCTCAAGTAGCGTGGTGGGAAGGCCCAGCTCCCCTATTTTCCCCCAAACGGGGGATATGCCGAGGTGCTGCCGAAATTTTCACTGAAATGTACAAAGACTTGAGCAATTTGAAGACTTTCTTGGGAAACAATGTAGAAGACCTGTACTCGAACAATAATATACAGAAATTGAACTAAATGAGCAGAGGACTTGTACGATGAACAGTGGACTTGAGGACTCAAACTTCTTGAACCAATAAAGACCTGATTGGGACAATGAACTGGACTTAAAGTTGGGCCTAAATCAAGCTCAAATGAAATCAAATCCAAATGAAATTAAGAAAAAAATGATCTTGAACTTGCAAGACGAGTAAAGATATGGACTGAACATTTGAACTTGAAGACTTGGACTGCAGGGGACACGTGAACTTGTACTTTGAGCTCCAACTATATAACATCAAGTGGGGCTTATGAACTTGATAAACTCAGTGCCAGATGAATCTAAATTTGAACAATCACTTACACTTGGAGCTTTTAAATAATCAACTAAATTTATACTACAAGGAATTAAACTCAAGGTGGTAAGAAGATTTGAACAAAATATCAGAGACTCAACTTGAATCCAAATAAGACAAGTGCAAGAGGACTTAGATTCAAATGAATTCGGATCTGATTGCAAGAGAGTTGAACAACATGAACTTTAAAGAACTCAACTCATACGTCATGATTTTGGATTTCTAAATTGAGGACCACAAGAGACTTGAATCTCTAAAGGCTTCAGGAGACCTGAACTTCTACTCAAACTCAATCTCCAATTTAAATATGCATATCGGTTTGAACATGAACTAAATTCAAATCTGGGTTTAGATACTGGATCTAAACAAAGTATAGAATGATATGGACTACTGAATGATCAGCAAATAATCAAGCCTTAGCTACTAGCAAACATGTATGAGTAGGTGTAACGAACTCCTACAACAGTCCCTACGAAGTCAAATGCGCCATGCCTGTAGATTGAGATGGCAATACTGGCACTTGATTGTGGAAGATCGGTCCTTACAAACAAGTACAATTTGCAAATGAGTACAATTGATGACCACCTGAGAACGGTGAAAGGTGGATGTGATGCAAGAACAATGGGTCTTCTATAAGCACTTTCAGGAGGTCGTAGTGGATTCAACAATTCCCTGCAAATGAGTACAAATCACTTATGGATAACAACAGTGGATACATCGTAAGTACAACGAATCACTGTGGGCACAGGTACAAGCATCACCTACGACAGTGGTGATCAAAGTGCTGTCAGTACACCAGGTACAAAGGCTACACGATGTACGAAAAGGGACACCCCCTGGCAGAAGGGAAGAAATATTTGAACAAATTAGAATCAAATTTCATGGTATTTCAAAGTTTCTTCTTAGTTCCATACTTGAGAGGAAAACAGTTCTGGTATCCACAGACACTGGAAAATAGCGAATCCACTAAACCAAAGAGCCTAAAAAGAGTTCTTTCCAAATCAACGATCATTGATTCCAAGGTCCAAAAAGTCCCGTTCCCCGGTGATTGAGAAAGGGGAGACAATATCAAGATGAGGGGATGCCTCATAATATCAAGATCATAACGCCACCGGATCTGCAACACTTATGAAAGCAAACAGAAGGCATCTACAATCTACAACGCAACGCCACCGGATCTGCAATACTCGTACTAGCGGACAGAAGGCGTCTACAAAACATCTCAAAATACTCCTGCACGTGCACCATAAATTGTATACACATAGGAACATTAAAAGGGGTAAATACAATCTCGACCCGCATGGGCCCCGACAAGCGTGTTATTGGTACACACGTGACGTCTAGGGATGCTGCGCAGGTCGATAAGTGAATTCATGTTCGAGTCTGATCCTTCTATACGGATCAATAGAGTCGACAGGGTTCGAACCTTCAAACAAATACATGGTTGTGGGGACCGGTGTATTTGTTTTAATACATTCATATTAGGCCTTCAAGGCCTAAAATCAAAAGAATTCACTAAACAAAGGCATAAATCCTACGAAACCCGATCCTCCTAAGCAGATGAATAGGAATAGACAGGGTTCAAACTCTAGGATAAATATACGATCACGAATGTAATCGGAATATTTATTTTATACATTCATATCAAGCCTTCAAGGCTTTTAACAAATAAATTTCATAAACAAATGCATAAAGCCTACGAGAAACCCGATCCCCTATCGTTAAGTTGATAGGGTCGACAAGGTTCAATCAAATGGAAATGACCTCAAGTACACCCCGATGATGGCCGTGTTAAATATTTATCTCAACCGGAGGGGTCCATTCAAATTCCAAAACTCCAAAAATACCACTCAAAATTCTAAAATTTCAAGATATTTAAAATTGAAATCAAACCATCAATCACTCAAAGCAAAATTCATCCACCATCCGCAGCAGTTTGTCGAGGTGGACAAATTAAAATTAACTTCAGCTCACAAAGAACCAAATGCATAGTCGAAAATATCACTAGGATCCATTCTCAAACAATCTCCTGCCAGTAAAAACGTGGTACGTGTCCTCTAACTGGCGGTCTGCCGCCAAATGGCACCGCAGGATAAACGGTTATAACCCGGGGCCCTATGAACCAAGTGGTTTTGCCGCTAAATGGCACCACGAAATACCGGTTATGGCCAGCGCCGTTACGTTCCTTATTGGCATTAAATCCTTAAGATATGAATCAATAGGATATGATCGATAGGGCACAAAGCCCTCGGTCAGCTAATGTGGATTCAAATTTGTCCCCTTAGGCAAATACCCATCCCAAGTCTACAAGGTCCCCTTGGACGAAGCAACCCATGGCCGCCGATAAGGATCCTTCTGTCAGGTTGGGTCGACTACCTCCTCTGACTAAGTAGACTAGGGACCAGGATGGCCCGGGACGACGGAACCATGGGATCTTGATCGGGTCCATCATCCATTCCCCCACCATCCGCTTTAAGTGAAAGATGGTGAAATTTCTATTTTAAATATCAAATTCCTCTCAATCATTTCAAATGTCCATTGCTGCTACTATTATGCCTGGTACCTACGTTATCATGGACAACGTATCTGATGACGACTAGCCTTAATCGAAAGTTCTTCTCTTCGTTACTGGGAGGGGTAATTAATTATAGGGGCTTGCCGCCTAATAGGAAAACCAGAACTAAAATCATAATTCCTCACAAAATTGAGGGCGAATCTCTGGGTAGTGTCCTTTAATCTACAAATCCATCTGCCTTCCAAAATTTACCCCGGAACTTATTCCGTTAAAACTCCCTCGCCGAATAAAAGAACAGCGCGGCGGGGAGGTCGAGGCGCGAATTTTTGAGCCACATATGAAAATTAAATTGATGGGTTAGAGCAACCCCAATTTACACCGCCAAGCAATAATTTGACATTAATTAAAATCTAATTTATATAGTTTTATTAGAATCACACCAAAGCAACCAACATTCTAGCCTAATGTGTTAACAACTTTCTCCCTAATAGCAACATTGGGTACTTACCGTATTATATAGTTTTCAACTTTCCACTTCATAAAGTATTTGAAGATTCAAGCAGTAGATGAAAGTAAAAAAAAAAAAAACATAATTTAAGAATCTTTACAAATAACAACTAATATATGGATACACACACATACACATAATAAATGGATCTTTTAAAAAAGAAAAAAAACCTGATTTGCTGTGGTTTCAACTCTAAGTTTCTTTGCCTCCTTATCCAAAGCTAGCCACTGTTGATTATCCAAGATTATGAGGATCAATATGAAAGTGCAAAGACTACGAGATAAATAAATCTATAGGAAAGATTAGTTAAGCCCATAAACTAAAATCAAGGATGCAGGCAAAAAAACTCACAACCCATCCAGACCCTTGCAGAGCAGCACCTTCAGCATTTATCTTTTGAATAAGAGTTTCCAAAGAGCCGAAGTTTTGATCAATGGCCCAACCAAGCGCACTATGCGGAGGCTCACCACCTCCCTCCTGCAAAATTAATCTTATTAGCAAATTTTTAGGTAAAAGAATCACAGCAGTAAAAAAAATAGTAAGAGTTTCAAAATGAAGAGAACATTTACCGCAATAGGCTTGAGGTTTTTCCAAAATATAGAATGATTGACATGACCTGAAAATATGAAGAAAAACATCGTTTTGAAATTGTGATGAATATCAAAAATCTTACATGCACAAAGGCACAAAGTAATGGAAAATTTTTGAAAAAAAAATCTATCTTCATAATTGCAAAAATTCATATAATTGAAAAGGCCAATCTTACTTTCTTATAAGGATTTGCATCACATACAAAAGTTAATTAACTCAAGAGAAATGCCAAAAATGTTTTACATTTCTTTCTTTTTTTTTTTTAATCTAGAAAACTAATATTGACTTAAATAGAAGTGCTTAATAGAGAGGTGATAAAGCAGGGGAAAAAAAGACCAATTAAGGTTCCTTTTTTATTAGTAGCCCGAGACCTACAAAACATATGACAATCTAGCAAGACAATTTCATTTGAGATAAATTTGGTAGTCTTCACAGGCATATCCTTCTAGAACTTTGGTATGCTTTTTAAATTGTAACCACAAGAAAAATTAGTAGAACAAAAAACTTCCTATTAGAAAGACTCAACCCTTTGTTCAAAGATTGAATGATGCATTCCACCAGTCAATGAACCACCTTCCCTCACTTCACTACCAAGATTCTCCTCTCTTGGTGAAGTCTTGGTTGATGCCACTCAAGCAAGTACAACTTGAACAAGAATAGTTGATTCAATAAGAGTGGTTAGGCATTCATAATATTTCCACTGGTTGACAAAATCCTCAAAAGCAGAACTTAGGAGCCATCGTCATTATCAGTCTTCACCTCCTACAGTCTTATCTGAGTAACTTGAAACATCATTTTAAGAAACATTGTGAAAAAGCTAACAAAAAACAGGTGAGAAAAAATAAAAGATTATTCATGTAGTGTTGCTGACTATATGAATAGTGTCTGCTAGATAAAACTTTAGCAGAGAAGATTATAATGTCACTAATAGTAAATTAGCTAAGAAAATTGGTAAGCAGTGAGTATTTATTCATTAAAGAAGTGTGCAGCTTCGGATCTAATTAACGGAAGACTTATCATAAGCTGCTACTCCAAGGATAATATAAATTGAAGGTAGTGCAGTGACAAAACTATCTGACATCAACACGCAGAGAGAATATGAAATGGGCTAAAGGTTCTGAGACAGAATTTCAAAACTGTATTATTTAAAATTTTGATAAAAATCTACTTGATTTATAAAGAGGTAACTATGTTTGAGAAGAAAGATTGATCAAAATTGCTATCCCAAACAAGAGACACTCTTTTGATTGGTGGACCTTTTTGATACACCAAACATTACAACCGATTATGACATATTTAAAAGTTGTTTTGCTGCAAATTTTAGTCAAGAATTAAGCAGGAATTAGGCTAAATATTTTTAAACAAATTTTTCGAGGCACATAAATCCAACTTCCTCCTTGAATACAATCTTCCTTTTATTTTTGGATAAAAACGTTTTTAGTAAATCACAGGGGAGAAAATTTTACAGTTTTCCTCACTTTGACTCTTATTCTAATTCATCTAAATCCTAATTTTTTAAACAATTTTTCAGACAATTTATTAGGATTTAAACAGCAAATTACCATATCAACTACACCTCAATTTCGACAAACAGTCATAATAAGAATCTAGAGATGAACAAACCTCCACCATTAAATTTGATAGCACTCTGCAGATGGACGACCTTGGCAGTCTCCCCCTTGTTCACAGCTTCGTCAAGCTGCTCGAGGGCTTTGTTGTAGTTTGTGATGTACGTTTGATGGTGCTTCTGGTGGTGAAGCTGCATGATCTCTGCGCTGATGGCCGGCTCGAGAGCACCATAGTCGTAGGGCAAATCAGGAAGCGAGAATGTCTGCAAGCCTCGAGCTTGTCGGTGCCCTAATCCCCCCACCGCCATGGATTTCCCGACACGAAACCAGTTCCCTAGGGTTTTCCTCGCGGCTGAAGCTCGGAGCGCCATTGATCTTAGATGCTCAGATTTTCTGCAGGAAGAAGTGGGCAACCGGATTAAATATCTAAACTACAGAAAAAGCATACGTACTCAACACCACATCAATACCAACTTTTAATCCACATTATTTATAAATCAAAATGCGTTGAGCCCATGGTTTTCTGTTATGTTCAGTCAGCTGTTGAACTAAATTTTTTAAATAAAAAAAATTCATAATTTTTGCGTTTTTTATTTTGAAAAATTTTGAATTATTTTATTAATTAGAGCTAAATCAAATAAATGGTTACATGATAACTTATAGAAATAAATAAAGAATTACTATAGTTTGTAAAAGTTACTGTGATCGCTAATACGCAATAATTTGATGCAAACAATTTTAGTCAAGGATGGGTCCCATCACTAGTTTTCTTTGTGAAATATCGTAATGATAAGTTCTTCTTATGAGAACTCTTTAGTCAATTTTGGTGGGTACTCTTAGACTTCGTTTGAGAAAGCTTTTTCATTACTTTCTATAAACTATTTGTCAGTACAATTTTTTTTTTTAACTAAAACACTGTTTTAGAAAGCATTAAAAAAGTTGTCCCGAACGAACCCTTAGGCTAGCAGCCGAGTCTTCAGTCTTCTACCAATTTAGCAAATAGGCATATTTAAGTTTCGTTTGGGACGATTTTTTTATTGTTTTTAAATCAGTAGTTTTCTAGTACAAAAATTTAGTGGCAAATTTCAAAGATGAGCTCATAATGGCTATGTTGAGTACTAAATATAGCGTTCATCACATAAATGTTGCATCTCTCACATACAATTAATGATACACAATCCTCATAAAGAAAAGGTAATGCACTTTTTAGCTAATCAAATAAATAATATATTTATAATAAAAAGTGCTTATTCTTAATTGTTACTTTATTGAACTCCTTATAATTAATGCACATGTACAATGTATCATTTTTTTCATAAATAGCATAGCAGATCTCTAGTGCAACACATTGGATATGATAAATCCTCCATCGACCTACTCTATAATTAAGTCTTCGTTTGGGATAATTTTTTTCACTGCTTCTTAAAGCAGTAAGAAAGCCGTTCCAAATGAAGTCTAAGACCTCATTTGGAACAACTTTCTTACTGCTTTGCAGATTGTAACCATAATTTTTATTTGGGAATTATTCTTTTCGTTATTTATAAAAAAAATGTATTGGAAAGCTATTTTCTTGAACAACTTTAAATAATTGCTTCCTTTACTAAAGTTTTAAAAAGCAGTAAAAAAGCACTCACAAACGAAGCATAAGTCTTCAACGCTTAATATTCATTCAAGGTTTCATAATGTATTGCCATTCTAATCCCTAATAACTCAACCATTACTAAATTTCTTTGTTTCATTTATATCTTTTCATAATTGCATGATCTATTAAGTTGTAGTTTCTACTTTTAATTAATTTACTTCATATTTATTAAGTTTTATAGTATTTTTATACAGTTATGTAATTAAATTAATTTATATTCCTTTTTTTCTTAAACTTGACTAGCTCCATTTTCTTCAAAGGCATCAAAGGACATGCCCATGATAAAATTAAGAAAATGTATAGGCTTCTTGAAGACTACAACTTCAATGGCAGTTGGTTTTCACTAACAAAACTTAGTTCAATGGCTCTCCATCTTCATATTTTCTTTGTTGTTTCAGCTCTGTTAAAATGTTATAACCTCCAATAATGGAGAGGCCTGATTGCCTTACAAATTCAAATTCAGCTTATGAATTATATTTTCATTCTTTTTATGCTCATTTAGGCTTCATTTGAGACGACTTTTATATTGTTTTTTAAAGCAGAGGTTTAATAAAAAAATTAAAATTTTTTATACTAAAACTCTGTTTTAAAAAACAATATAAAAGTCATCCCAAGGCTTCTTAATCAAAGATGTTTAATTTCGTTCACTTAATATATATTTAAATGAGAAACTACACTTTTTCTCCTAAAAAAAATTGAATGCCCAAACACAAATTTAGTGTAGAAGGGATTCAATCCCAAGAAGTTGATAAAATTTATCCCTACAGTCAGAGAATTTCAGTTGAAGCATAATTATTCCCATAACAGCTTAAATTGCAAATTTCAGAGCCTGCAATTGCTTCTTCTGTCGATCCTATGGTTCAAAATCTATTGGGATGGAATCACGGTGCACTCTATCTCTTGCTTTTCTTGCCTGAAACAGAAGCATTCATGGAGGAAATAAATTTCACGACAAAAGTACTGAAGCTAGCGAAGAATGAATATAAGAAGCAACAGAGATGCTTACTTCTACATCCCAATTAGTGCATATTGTAACAGTAAGAAGCAACAGAGATTGTACACTGAGGCCACATACAATTCCCATCCAAAGACCCTGCAGCTCAAAATAGTTTCATTCCTCAGAAATTCACACCATGCTGAAATGTTTCAAGTAGCAAAATATGGAGAAGCTAGTTTCAGATGAACAATCTAACCTTTCCTCCAATGTGGAGAACAAAACTCATCAAAACTGCAGAGGGAATGCCAACAACATAATAAGCTCCAAGATTAACGCAGGCGCCAATCTTTTGCCAGCCACAACCTCTTGCTATGCCTGCAATTTAAGCAATGAAATCATAAGGGGTGTTCGGTATAGGATTGGATTCAATTTTAGTAAGATTTAATAAATCATGTAAATCCAGATTTAGTAAATCCTAGGCTCATAAATCCTGAAAAGTATTTGGTATGACAAATTGTAAATCCTGTTAAATCAAGAGAAGTTTTTTGGCAACAGATTACAGGACGGGCGCTGTAGGAAGAAATTCCGCAACTGTAAGTCACGTTAAATCCGAATAGGAATGTGATTAGAATTTAGAGGGATTTATGCCTTAAATCCGTAAATCCTGGATTTACGGATTTGCCGGATTTACAGCAGCGCGGATTGCGCTTGGCTGGATTTACGCTAAATCCTATTAAAAACAACGGGCAAATCCGATACCAAACACCCCCTAAGTGTGATACTAGATCACATATTGATGAGTTGCAAAGCCAAATTTTTTCCCTAGTCTTGGATCGATCTTCATGGCAGAAGTCACCATGGGGGTTGAAGATGGCAGGGAGACCCCAAAAGTTTTGATTTTGAAAGTTCAAGTTCAAGAAATTCTACCTGAAAGCACGCATTGAATTCCATCAAGGAAGTTTGATGTGGCAAGAATTGGAAGCATGACTGCAATATATTTCACCACTTCCACTTCATTGCTGTATGCATATCCCCATATATTGCGAACTAAGAAAAGGGTCAATCCTACAATCAACCCAACAGATACGGCTAAAATCACAACAACCTGCACTGCTAAACGTGCAGCCATTGGATGACCAGCCCCAAGTTCATTTGAAACACGTGTGCTATACAACAACAAATGAAAATTAGAAAAAATATGGAATGTTAGTGTACCAGAACATGAATGTTCAACCAATATTACTGAGTCAAAACTAACCTTATAGCAGCTCCGAGTCCATAGGGAATCATGAATATCATTGAACCCGTGTTAAGGCTGAAGAAGGAAGAAGAAGTTATTAACAATTCGATGTTATGACAACAAGCGTTATATGCTAGTTAAATTTAAGAACCTAGTTTGTAATTGACCATTTTTATTGCTTACGTGATGGAAAGAACTGAGGTTTCCAACTTCGGATTTGGAAGAAGACCAGAAAGAAGAACAAGGAGCTCAAACGACCAAAATTCAAGGCTGCAAAAAGTAAGAAAAGTAGTTTGATTAAAATGAACATTACCTACTAATTGAGTTTTGTAATAATGCACTATTAACATGTTTTAGATTTCATTTGAAATAGCTTTCTAGCTTCTTATGTAGTAAAAAGCAGCAAAAAAAATTTAATGTTCATTTAGAGACAACATTTTCACCATTTTTTTAAATTCTACTTTGGAAAAGCAGCTTTTGGGAAGTAGTTTTTAAAAACAAAAGCAGAAACATATAAGTTTCCTCAAATGAAGCCTAAAGCAATGAAGCTTTAGTAAATGCTAATATGAACATCTATGAAAATTTAAGAAAAAATGTTTCTGAAAAAAAAAATGCTAACCAAACCATGATGGCTGAAGGAATTGCTAGTTTGATGAAGGAAAGAATATTGTGAAAGGCTTCTCTTGAAAAGCCTGACCAAGACTCTTTGCAAGAAGGTGATAACTTAATATAAAGTACCAACAGCAGCACATTGATCCAATAAGAGATAGAATTAGCCAGAGCAGCACCTTTGTTTCCAAGGCCAGACTTGAAAACCAGTAGCCAACAGACCAAAATGTGAAGAAGAGTTGTAACTGCAGAGGCCAACATCATTGGCAATACAATGTTTTGTGTCTGTAAGAATCTAACATAGCATTGAAGCAGTCCATATGCAAAGAGAGCAGGAATAAGCCAACGAGCATATAACCCAGCTTCTACTGATATTTCTGGATCTTGTCCTAATGCCTTGAGAATTTGCCCTGTGTAGGCCCAAACAACAGCCACAGGAATGGCCACTGTCATAAGAACAAGCATAGCACTTTGCAAATGTATTCCAAGCATGCGATACTTCTTTGCTCCAAAAGATTGGCCACACAAGGTTTCTAATGCACTTCCCATGCCCAACTGGAAACAGAAAGCTTTATAAACATAAGGACTTTAATGAGGTCTGAAAAAAAAAAAATGGGCAAGATTTTATGAATATATGTACGCAGTACGCCTATGCTTGAATAGAATCATCGTTGTCTTTTGTTTCATCATTAATTTTTGTATTTCTTTCACACTCAAGTTGGCTATTAATAACTAATTAGCCTTCCTTCACTTTGAATCTATGTTGCACCGATACACCTATTTATGAAGGCGTGTTGTATCCAATACACCGATGCACGGATACGCCTCCGATACGGCACCGATATGTGTCGGATATGGCTTTGCCGTATCCAATTAAAATACTATTTAATTTCAAAAGGACACGAATATCTGATACGCATATCCGTTGCAAAAAAAATCCAAAAAAAAGACACGTCGCATTTACTGCAGCGGCTGCGAGCGAGTTTCTCTCATTTCCGAGATGGATTTGAATCTCTTGATGATATGAGAATATTAGAAATTGCTAATCTTTCACTTCATGAGCCTGAATTAGAAGTTATGATATTTATTGAAAATGATATAGAAGTTTAAAGACAAACCACTAAAGAAGCTAATCATATCATTCCTTCTATTGAATAGTGAAACTTTATGTGCTAGACAATTTATGTTTATGCTTTTGTGGTTGTACTAGACATTTAATGCTTACTTTTATTTTGATATTATAAGCTACAAGGCTACAAATGATGTTGCTTTCATTTTTTTTTTTGTAATTTTAAATATTATGCTTTGATTGTTTTCTTAATTTTTATGTATGATTTATAAATTATAATGTCGTGTCCGCGCCGTACCTGTATCCTGTATTTTTAAGAATTGACGTGTCCCGTATCCGTATCGTATCGTATCCATGTTGTTGTATCGGTGCAACATAGCTTTGAATATATATACTCTAGGTAGGTTATGGTAAATTCAACGAATTCCTTGTTGTATTCTGTTACGATAGAGTAATACCAAACACTTTTCTTTCCTCATTAATTCTTGTTAGTATGTTTATCTTCTTCTTCTAAAAAATTTCTTGCTCAAACTGTGATTCAATTACGTTCTACTTTTCATTCATGTCTTCTCTTTAATTATGGTCTTATTATCTGCAAACTTATCATATTTAATTATATCAAAGTATTTAGATCACATTTCTCTTTCCATAACTACTTGTATCTTCTATTTTCCCCAAAAATTTAAGTTAATTAATCATAAATTTACACACAACAGATATATTTATATATGTCATAGTCATACAAGATTGACTAAATCCTTCTGAATGTTTTATCAACACAATAGAACAGGTAAACTAACCCTGCACATATCTTCTTCTCCTTTTATAATTGGAGTAATGAGGGTGTGCGTTAGGGAGGGATAATACATACCATCAAGGAGAAGCCAGTGACGCCTGCAAATGAAGTTGCCATAGAAGCACCGGCTAAGGAAAGCTCCCCAAGATGACCAACAAACATCACAGAAATCACTTGCAGGATGTTCTGAAGAAGGCTCGACGCTATAAGCGGACCAGCCAAACATAGCTGCTTTCTCACCTCAGCCAACGCTTCTCTTCTCCCTCTGAGCTCTCTCACCCCATTTTTCTCATCTGCAGTACCCAAATTTGTTATCAGAGGAGAATTCAAGCTTGGCTTCTCCATTGAACCCAGAAGAAGAAATATGAGGCTGAAGAGGAAGCGTACATGTTATTAATATTTGTAGTAGAATAGTGAGGACTTTTCTACTTATTTTAAGTGAGACAAGGAAAAAGACAAAGGATGCAGAGCTTGGGAATAATGTGACTTTTCTTCTGTGTTGTGTATTGGCCTCATGCAGAATTTTTTGTTACGGTGATGTATTACTTTAAATTGCCATCATGGAGGCATTTTTTTCTTTTTTGAAATTTATGGGCTCTTATCAATAATTATAGCAAGACTAAAAAAAGGCAAGAAAATTACAACTCAATGATGGGTTAGAGAAAAACTGAGCTGCAACAAAAATTAGCGATGCTCAAAAGCCTATAGAAAATAAACAAAGACTAAGGCTTTGTTTGGGATGGCTTTCTTACTACAACTTAAATCAACTTTTTAGTACAAAAATTAAAATTTTTATAAAAAAAAAACTGATTTAAGAAATAGTAAGAACACCATCCCAAACAAAGTCTAAAACATGGTAGAGATCCATCCCCAGTGGACTCAGAATAATTGGCATGAGACAATATAAAGCTTGCATCCTATTGTGAGCTTAGAATGGTTGCCACATAGACCGTTGAGGCGAGCAAAGCATAGCAGCAAAGTGTCATTCATCATTGCCCATGAAAACAGCAAGAGGCTTCATGAAATACATTTCTATTTATTTAATGAAAATTATTTTATGAGAAAAATAACAAGCACGAGCTGTTAACCAGTTGGTTAAACATAGGTTGTAAGGAAAGAAGGTGGCCTCAGTTTAGAGGCAAATATGATGAGCAATAAAGCAACCATAAAAGAGATCAAGAATAAATAAATAAAACCAATCAAGCTTATGTATAAGTCTGCATAAAATCGAATAATCCATTAAAATTTAAAAGAGGTATATAAATAATTATACTTTATATAAAATTAGAGATAAAGACAAATATATCATTTTGTCTAGTTAAGAGAAAATACAATCACCTACTCCGAAGATAAGGGCTATAAGTTCAACTCATCAAATATCTTCTTAAGGGTTTTGAATGTTTAAGAGAGATGTTTAGTGCAGTTAAAAAGACATGTCTGTCATACTAAGAAAAACATGTATAGATTCTGCTTGTTACTCCAAATACAGTATAGTTAAGATATTGAGAATTTAAAGTGTTTATGAGCTTATACCTTTACGAATGATGCAATAATGATGATAATGAGATGAGGAGACAAAATTTGCGAGGTGAGTATAATATGTATATTGGATCTTTATAGTTGTTTAAAATCTACCATAAATTGGATATTTAAGCTCAAACTTGAGTGAAAGGAAATTAAAGAAAAATGAGTCAAAAACTTAGACTTCGTTTGGGACGACTTTCTTTTTGCTTCTTAAAGCAACTTTTAAGTACAAAAGTTAAAATTTTTGTGCTAAAAAATTTCTTTAAAAACAGTAAAAAAGCCGTCTCAAACGAAGCCTTAGATGGTTGAATATAGGCATTCTAGTCGTATATTCTTAAAATTTTATTTCATTTTATTTACTTTCCATCCATCCAAAATAAGCACTAAAGAAACCTAATCGCACAAAATTTCATGAAAGAAAATCAAATGTATATTAGAAATGCAATTTAAAAAGTTGAGATTTCATACAAAAATTTAGTTAGATACGAAATTTACTATACTATTAATATGTGTTAACTCCACATAAGGTTTTCATTGGCAGGAATATAATAACGATATATTTAAATGAGAAATTTCTAATTTTTTTCCAGCAAATATTTGAAGGCTAAAATAGAAATTTAATGCAGAAAGGGATTTAATCCCAAGAAATTGATAATAATTTGCAACATTTTTCCCAATTGTTGATTAAATTTATCACTACATTCAAAGAATTTCACTCAGAGCATATTTATTCCCCTCACAACATTAAATTGCATATTTCAGAGTACTAAATGGAAAGCTAGCAATTGCTTCTGATTTTGAGGTCTTATGGTTCAAAATCTACTGGGATGGAATCACAGTGTACTCTATCCCTTGCTTTTCTTGCCTGAAACAGAAGCATTCATGTAGGAAATAAATTTCACAGCAAAAGCGAAGCTTGCAAAATAAGAACAATGAATATAAATAAATTAAAACAAAAAATCATAAACTGTAAGAGAATAGAGATGCTTACTTCTACATCCCAGTTAATGTATATTGTAACTATAAGAAGCAACAAAGATTGTACAATAAGGCCACATACAATTCCCATCCAAAGACCCTGCAGCTCAAAATAGTTTCACCCCTCAGAAATTCACACCATGCTAAAATGTTTCAAGAAGCAAAATATGGAGAAGGTTACCTTTCCTCCAATGTGGAAAACAAAACTCAACAGAATTGCAGAGGGAACGCCAAAAACATAATAAGCTCCAAGATTAACATATGCGCCAATCTTTTGCAAGCCACAACCTCTTGTTGCGCCTGCAATTCAGCAATGAAACCATAAGTGTGATACTAGATCACATAGTGTTTAGTTGCGAAGCCAAATTTTTCCCCTAGTCTTGGATTGATCTTTATGGCAAGATCACCGTGGGGGTTGAAGGCATCAGGGGGTTGAAGGCGGCAGGTAGACCCCTCTTGAGGATTTGGGGTATCAGCCCCCAAAAGGTATATAATATTTTAGGCAATTTTATTTTGAGAACTTAGAAGATTTCAATATATTTTTTTGGCTTCCCAGGTTTTTTTTTTTTTTTTTTTTTATAAAGATGAGAGACTTCATCTTTATATTGTGTATGAGAAATGAGTGTTGTAAGACTCCACAATAAAGTTATAGTAAATTCGAAAGCAACAGTGTAAGACATAATCATCAATTGGGCAAACTCTTATAAAGTTCTTAATATGTTTTATGTTCTATGTACTGTTCTTTTTGGTCTCGATGATTGAATAATTCCCAACGCATACTTGGCTTGCAAAAAAAATTAAAATTTTTGTATATTGAGGGTTCAAGAAATTCTACCTGAAAGGACACATTGAAATCCATCAAGGAAGTTCGATGTTGCAAGAATTGGAAGCATCACTGCAACATATTTCACCACTTCCACTTCATTGCTATAAGCATATCCCCATATATTGCGAACTAAAAAAAGGGTCAATGCTACAATAAACCCAATAGATACGTCTAAAATTACGACAACTTGAACTGCTAAACGTGCGGCCATTGGATGACCAGCCCCAAGTTCATTTGAAACACGTGTGCTACACAACAACAAATGAAAATTAGGAAAGATGGTTAATGTACCAGAACATGAGATATTACTTGAGTCAAAACTAACCTTATAACAGCTCCTAGAGCAAAGGGAATCATGAATAAGATTGAAGATGTGTTAAGGCTGATAAAGGAAGAAAAGGTTGTTAACAATTCCATGTTATTACAACAAGCGTTTTATTCTAGTTAAATTTAAGAACCTAGTTTGTAATTGAACATTTTTATTGCTTACGTGATGGAAAGAACCGAGGTTTCCAACTTCGGATTTGGAAGAAGACCAGAAAGAAGAACAAGGACCTCAAATGACCAAAATTCCAAGCTGCAAAAAGTAAGAAAAATAGCTCGATTAAAATGACATTACATACTACTTGAGTTTAATAATAATGCATTATTAACATGCTTTAGACTTCATTTGAGATAGCTTTCTAGCTTCTTATGTAGTAAAAAAACTAAAAATAAAATGAAATGTTCACTTATATAACTTTTTAACTATTTTTTAAAGTCTAATTTGGAAAAACACCTTTTGGAAAATCATAATAGAAACTGTCATTACGTAAGTAGTTTTTTTTTAAAAAAGTGAAAAATATAAGATTCCTCAAACGAAGCCTAAAGCCACGAAGCTTTAGTAAATGCTGATAGAAACATCTAAGAAATTTATGAAAAAATTATTCTGAAAAAAAAATGCTAACCAAACCATCATGGCTGAAGGAATTGCTAGTTTGATGAAGGAAAGAATATTGCGAAAGGCTTCTCTTGAAAAGCCTGACCAAGACTCTTTACAAGAAGGTGATAACTTAACATAAAGTACCAACAGCAGCACATGGATCCAGTAAGAGATAGAATTAGCCAGAGCAGCACCTTTGTTTCCAAGGCCCGACTTGAAAACCAGGAGCCAACACACTAAAAAGTGAAGAAGAGTTGTAACTGCAGAGCCCAACATCATTGGCAAAACAATGTTCTGTGTCTGTAAGAATCTAACATAACATTGAAGCAGTCCATATGCAAAGAGAGAAGGAATAAGCCAACGAGCATATAACCCAGCTTCTACTGATATTTCTGGATCTTGTCCTAATGCCTTGAGAATTTGCCCTGTGTAGGCCCAAACAACAGCCACAGGAATGCTCACTGTCATAAGAACAAGCATAGCACTTTGCAAATGTATACCAAGCATGCGATACTTCTTTGCTCCAAAAGATTGGCCACACAAGGTTTCTAATGCACTTCCCATGCCCACCTGGAAACATAAAGCTTTATAAACATAAGGAGTTTAATGAGGCTTGAAAAAAAAGGGCAAGATTTGATGTAAATATGTGCGCAGTACGCCTATGCTTGAATAGAATCATCATTGTTTTTTGTTTCATCATTAATTTTGGTTATGGTAAATTCAACGAATTCTGGTTGTATTCTGTTATGATAAAGTAATTCCTAACACTTTTCTTTATGATAGATGCATATTTACAAGTAGTTTGAATCATGTGGTATATCTTGTTACTATGTTTATCTTTTTCTTCTCAGAAATTTCTTGATCAAAATTGTGATTCAATTATGATCTACTTGTCATTCATGTCTTCTCTTTAATTAAATTCTTATTATCTGTGAACTTATCAAATTTAATTATATCAAAGTATTTAGAACACTTTTCTCTCACCATGACTACTTATATTTTCTTTTCACAATCTTTAGCATATGGTCTATCATACAAGTCATGAAGGATTATCTTTTGGACTACTATCCTTTTTGAAAACTTCTAACTAGCTTACTATTATTATATTTCTTAGTGCTATAATGTTTTCTTTTTCACTTAAAGAACGTGTGATTTTTTTTTTTTTTCATTTAAAGAATATTTCATTTCCTTATGACATTTTGAACCACCTCACCACACTACCTTGTCTTTTTACTTTGTACAATATGTATCTTGACTGTACAAAATTCTATGACAACATTTTATGCACTAGTATATACTTTCCTAGGTATTTAGTAGCTAGTGGGCAAGTCATAACAGCTGAACTTACACCTTGTGGACCTTGACAATGAATACTCATTTAGGGGTTATCAACCCCATTACGAGAAAAATTATTAGGTCCGGACATCCACTAAAAATTTGACACGTGTAGTGCACTTTAGTTGTGTTTTTTTGTGTGCTTTACTTGCGCTTTACCTGGGCTTTAGTTGAGCTTTAGTTGTGCTTTAAGTGCGCTTTTTGACTGTGCTTTGACTGTGTTTTACCTGCGTTTTACATGCGCTTTAGTTGCGTTTTAATTGCGCTTTAAGTGTGTTTTTTACCTGCGCTTTACCTATTGCGCTTTACCTGCATTTTAGTTGCGCTTTTGATGTGCTTGGCTTAAAGTTTCACGGACACATTAAACATATTGAATATCCACGTGTCCACTCAACGTGTCGACATTTTATTGACTTCTGGGCCTATCTCTACGTCCGGTGTCCAGACCTAATAATTTTCCCAGCACGGCGAAGTAGCCATAAAGGAATAACCTCCCAAGGGAAGGCCAAGGGTTCACAGGTTAGATTGTGAGGGATAGCTTCACATATCAGTTTCATGATTAAATTTGTTCATTATCGCCTCACATTACTTAGTAAATGACTTTTCTTTATTTTAAGAGTTTTTTTTTACACAATAGAACAGGTAAACTAACCCTAATACATATCTTCTTCTCCGTATATAATTCATTACTTAGGGAGGGAGGAGAATGCATACCATCAAGGAGAATCCAGTGACGCCGGCAAATGAAGTTGCCATAGAAGCACCGGCTAAGGAAAGCTCCCCAAGATGACCAACAAACATCACCGAAATCACTTGCATGATTTTCAGAAGAAGGCTCGATGTTATAAGAGGACCAGCCAAATATAGCTGCTTTCTCACCTCAGCCAACACCTCTCTTCTCCCTATAAGCTCCGCCACCCCATTTTTCTCATCAGCAGAAACCAACCTTGTTATGAGAGGAGAATTCAAACCTGGCTTCTCCATTGAATCCAGAAAAAGAAATACGAGTCTGCAGAAGAGGGATAGCAGATGTTATTTATACTTGTAGTAGAATGGTTAGGACTTCTCTGCTTACTTTATCAGCTCCAAAATTGAATAGTAAAGTATCCTATAAGCGACAATGAAAAAGACAAAGGATATAAAGAGATTCGATACATAAATATTTATACTTTATATAAAATTAGAGATATAGATAAAGATGTCTCTTTGTCACAGAAATTATTCTGTGTCCACGTAGGAAGCAGCTCTATATCCGGAGATCAATTAGGTGCAGCAACGTCAGTGTACCGAGTAGTACTCAGCCGCGGTACCGAATGAAGAGGTAATGTGGCGCATTCTGATGAATTTCCATATGAGATTCGACGTTCGCATAGAATAATTTTTCCTTTGACTGTCACCTGCTACGAAGATAAGGGCATAAAAAACTTTTCTTTTTCACATGACGCCCCCTCTTCTCTTTCTTTCTCTTTATCGATTCATTTTTCTTTTAGTTGGATAACTAATTAGAATGTAGCTGTCTCTTTATATAGTGCTTAGACCCATCTCCAACCGTTCGGCAAACAGCCGAATGGAGGCCCTCAAACGTCGCAATAGCTGTTCACTTGCGTCATTTCTTTCTCTCTACCGAACTCGTCCGAGAAAGGCGCGAAAGAAACGAACGGTGATTTGGGGGCAAAATGGCGTTCCACTGGAGATGAATCACGGCACTTTTTAATTTTACTGCATTTTGCAATGAAAAATGAGAGTTTTGGTTGGAGATGCCCTAATTAGTATGCAAGTAACAAAATTGAAATTAATGAAGCTCTACTTTGATAACCACCATATTCAAAATTTAAGAGTGGATGATTTAATCTTAAATTAGCTTAGTCATCAATTAACAAAATCAAGTGTAAATAAATAATTTAATCTTAAATTATGTTAGTCATCATTTAAAAAAAAAATCATCATATTAACATCTATTATGTTCATCAAGGACATCATAAATATATCAAATTTGATTTTTAGCCCTATTTATAAAATATAAAATGATTTATAAGAGTAGACACAATATTCTCTACAAAAGTGCTAATGCCAAAAAAAAATAGAAAAATAACAGATCTTATATCAACAATTAAAAAAAAATGGCAAATAGAGGTATGGTCAAGTGATGGGGAGCTTTAGCTCCTTGTGAGTGGTCCTTGCTTAAATGTACTAATCTATTAATTTCTAATAAATTATATTTCGATGCTAGCTTTTAAAATAATAATAATTAGATGTGCAATTATTTTATTGAATATTATTTTGCTCCATAACATCAACTAAAAAAAAAAAACTTTGTAGCTTTTTTTTTATAGCATTACTCATATCTCATGATGATATAATTGTAATACTATGAAACTATTATGATATTTTTATAATCAATTCAAGAAGGTCAATGTGTGATACTATTTAATTTAAAATTATTCATGAACAATATCCAATTATTTTGACAATTTTGAACTAAAAGGGATCAAAGAAATAGAGATATAAATAATTCTAGAATAAGAAGATTTGTTATTTCTATAAAATATGCTTGATTATTAACTATATGGCTCTAAAAAAAGGAAAAAATGCTTAAATTGTATAACTTAATTAGAATATCGGATATGATGAAATCATTTGTCGAGCTCATAAACAGTTGTTGGCTTTGCGTGTATTAGTGGATGAATAACCGAACAGCTAGTCAAAATTTATCACATAAAGGAAGTCGCCCACTTGTAGCCGACTTCCTATATCATATTCACTAAGGCTAACTTGATAGGCCACATAAACTTGCTTGGGACTACTTTTTTGGATTATGGTCATGTGCTTGAGGCTAGTTCATTTATAGAGCGAGAAGACTATTTTGAGATGTGAATGAGTAGATGCAATTCACTTTAACTTGAATTGGGCAGACTTGACCTGAACCCATATGTGCAGAGACTGCATGAAATGATTTCAAATTTGAGTATTTTTTAAGTCAATGATTCTCTTTTGATTTTGAGCTCAAGCTAATTTACTCGCTCTTTCCATATCACTCAAGTTGTATTTGTTTCTAACTTCACTAAGGACTCAATTGTTGCTTGCAAATAAAAATATTTTTTCAAAAACAATGATTTTATTTTTATGTATATTGAATGTGAAATTAAAAATCTCTTTTTTATATATATAAATTTGCAGCTGTCTTCAGATTTTAAAATTCATAATAACAGTTTTCCTATAATAAATTTTACTTTAAATAAACAAATCTAATAAAATTATTTCTTTTAAAACATATATCTTTTAAATTAGAAGCTAACGATACCAAATGACAAAATTTAGTGAGAGAGAAAAATAGAATTTTAAAATGTTCATAAATCATAAGTCATTTGATATTATTTATTTTTATTATCTTTGAATAATAGGGGTAGGCCACTTGAATCAAATGCACGTGACTAAATTAGGAAGTGTGTTTTCACTTGGGCCCATCGCCCACATACACTAATTTATTAAAATTGTTAATAGAAACAAATCAAAGAATTTATTAAAATTGTTCTTCGGTTTTTCCAAAGTAAGATCCTATAAGTACTTTTGCTCAACAATAGTCACTCAATTGCAATCTCTAATCATCATCTCTCTTAACCACAATCCCTGATTACCATTATGCGACGACTGCTCCTTGACTATTATCGTCATACTATATATATAATCATATGCTCGATTATAGTCCTCCGACCCTAGTTATGATCTTACGAGCAATATCGATAAACTCCAATTATTTGGCCATTATAGTTTAGCAACACTGACAACCATTGGCTTCATTACTTGTCCCCTCCAATAATGTCGATGCATGTCATAACCCATAAGAACAATGTATATCGACAATGTCAAATCTAACTCCTGACGTCCATATCTAGATTTATTTTGCACCCCTTGATCTGTAGTCTGCTTTCTAAAAGAGTACCGCTAAACAAATTGCAAGAGATCTCTTATAGATAGATCCCATGTCACAAGAATATTACAATTTTCATAACAAGATATGTCCAATACATTATATATTTTCTACATCATATCAACTCATTTCTCAATAACTAGGAAATCATCATTTATCGTCGTTGATAGACACAAGTGCAATCATTACAATTAGGTCATACCCGAGAATTTTTTCAGATTATCAATGAACAATCTTTTTTTTTATTGGCTTTACTTTTATTTTTTTGATGTGTATGAATTTTTTATACAATGCTAAGACGTTAAGCTCTTTTTATTACTCTACTGACAATATACTTTCACAATCAATAATATATATTGTTGCGGGGTAGAATATACGCGACAATAGAGTTGGAGTCTTACGTCTTAACGTTGCACAGATATCTAGCTCAAACATAGATAACACAATATTTTTTACGTGGAAAATCTTGAAAAGGGAAAAAACCACGGGGCCTAACCTAGTTGAAAATGATTCCATAAGATTTCGAGTAGATTACAACGGTCTGACTCGTCCTTGAGGGCGATTATATTACAAATGTCAACTATAAAAGTTAAAATCTAATGACAAATAGGGATGATAGTCCGACGTCACTTGGTGGTCTGGCAGAGGTCTAGCGTGACTTTGAAAATTCAAGTGTTAATTAGTAATTTGGCGAAACTCCGGGGTTACTTGGTGGTCTAGCAAAACATTAAGCCTCAAGTGGTGGCCTGACAGAAGTCAGGTGGTGGTCTGACAGAACTATGGGCCTCAGATGGTGGTCCGACAAAAGTCTAGGCCTCAAGTGGTGGTCCAGCAGAAGGGAGGGCCTTAAGTGGTAGTCCGGCGGAGCTCAGGACCTCATGTGATGGTTCAGAGGAGCTCAGGGCCTTAAGGGTGGTTCAACAGAGCTCAGGGCCTCAAGTGGTCCAGCGGAGCTCAGGTGCTCAAGTGGTGGTCCGATAGAGTTCAAGGCCTCAGTTGGTGGTCTGGAATAAGTGAGTGCCTCATGTGGTGGTTTGGAGGAGCTCAGGTCCTCAGGTTGTGGTCTGACAGAGCTCATGGCCTTAGGTGGTGGTCCGGTAGAGTTCAGGGCCTCAGGTGGTGGTCTATCGGAGCTCAAGGCATCACGTGGTGGTCCGGCGGAGCTCAGGGCCTCAAGTGGTGGTCCGACGGAGCTCAAGGTCTCAAGTGGTGGTCTGACGGAGTTCAGGGCCTCAGGTGGTGGTCCGGCAAAAGTGAGGGCCTCAGGTGGTGGTCCGACGGAGTTCAGGACCTCAGGTGGTGGTTCGGCAGAAGTAAGGGCCTCAGGTGGTGGTCCGGTAAAGCTCAAGGCCTCAAGTGATGGTCTGGCGGAGTTCAGGGCCTCAGGTGGTGGTCCGGCGGTGCTCAGGGCCTCAAGTGGTGGTCCGACGGAGCTCAGGGTCTCATGTGGTGGTATGGTAGAGTTCAGGGATTCAAGTGGTGGTCCGGTGGAACAACGACATTAGGTAGAGATCCAGCAGAATTCAGGTGATGGTCGAGGAGGAGCAAGGATGCAAGAGCGATCTCCGATATCTCTCTTGAATCCTTTGTCTTAGAGATCCCTATTCAAGAGGGATGAGGGATCTATTTATAGATTTGCTAGAGTTTCATGACCTGTAAATAGGAGGAGGATCAAGGGCAAATGGGGAGAGGTTTAGATGGACGACTGATGTTGAATCGCTTGATCGTGGTTCATACTTCATCCGTTAAACATTTGAAGGTCTTGGTGTGTCGGAATTCTGCGATCTTGGTCTTGTTGGATTCGTATCGTCAAATCGATTCGACTATAAGCATGTCACGTTTGGTAATCCAAATTATGGTTTGAACCTTCCAAAATCACTTCGGATCCTCGATTCGGACCCATTTGGGCTTGGATTGTGTCGAATTTGTGTCATTGGATTTGTATTTCCTAGATGTTCAATTAGACTGTAAGTTTGTTAAAATCAGAGTTCGGATGGTCCCAATTTTAATTTCAGAAGTTTCCAAGTTGATTTTGCATAGAGATTCGTGCCGGATTAAAATAATTTTTTTTGTGTATATATATATATATATATATATATCTCAGTACTTCATAAAAAAAACTTATGAATACTCAAAATAGTACTGATTATGTACTTTATTAATAATCAAATTATTCTAAAAATTAATGAAACTGTACGATCTATGTGGGCTCTGCATTTGTGCGTTTGGACTATGTAAATAATTGCCGCACTCATATGGGCCAAGCACCAAACTATCTTCCACATAATTGACAATAAAAGCATTAGAATCTTAATTTATTATTATTATTTTCTTCACAATATCTTTAAGATTATGTGTAAGAATTGGAACCACATATTTTATTTTTTATTTTTAAAATTTAGAAAGATTTACAAAGATCATTAAATTTTTATATATTTATAGATTTAATATCTCTAAATGCTAATATTTATTTTTATAACATCTTAATATTTCAATCACTTCAAAATTTATGCATGAAAATTTATTTTTCAATTTATTATTGACATTTAAAGATTAAAATAGAATTTAAGTAAATATAAAAATTTAGATCTAAGATATATAAATACATAAAGCATAATCCATAATTTTAATTCCTCAAATTGAGTTATTAATAAATTATGATCTTTTTTTTTATTAATGATATATCCATATCCATTCAACACTAGTGTCTCATATATGTGTCTATTGCTTCCAAAATAATTTTAACTTCATACTTCTATCTTGAGAAAGCTTTTGAAGCTTTGTTTGGGGCGGCTCTGTAATTGTTTCATAAAATAAATTTTTAGTATAAAAATTTAAATTTTTATAAAAAAAAAATGTTTTAAGAAATAATAAAGAAATCACCCTAAATGAAGTTGGAGGTTTCGTTTGAGACGGCTTTTTAATTGCTTCTTGAAGCAGCTTTTTATTATAAAGATAAAAATTTTTGTACTAGAAGACAGTTTCAATAAGCAGTAAAAAAATCATCCCAAACGAAGCCTGAATCTCCAAATTTGATTGTTTATCCCATTAAACAATATGAACTCCATGTCATGGGCGAAGATTTTACAGTGATATTATTTTGCAGCAGACGATATATACATATAGAAAATTTGATATTATGGGGCTCCCATAAGAACTTAAGACCCAAATGTTCAAAATTATGCAGGCAGAAAGCATTATTAAATGCATATGATGAAAATATATATCAACTCAGAAATAATGAAACTTTAAGAATTTCTGGATGAAATCTTAGATCGATAAAGCTGAACACTGTTCTAATAAACGTGTTCCACATTGCACCATATCCATAGATCTTTTAAAAAACAAAAGATAACGTTAGGGGAGAAACCGTTTCCCTCTGGTCGAAGGCGTTTCCCTCCGCCTATAAATACCATGCTCGGTTTCTTCTTCTCCCATCACCTTTACAAAGAAGATAAAGAAGAGTGAACATTAGCAGTAAAAAGATGGGCTTCTGCGTATCATCTGCTTTTCTCCTATCACTGATGCTAATAATCTCTCCTTGCTTCGCAGTCCAGAGCTTTGACTACTTCTCCCTAGTTCTCATGGTATTTACACATCCATTCCTCAGTTACACAGCTTTCTCATTCAATCCAAGCCTTGAAGAATTACAGACATTTTCAGATTCTCTCTTCCTTCTCTTCTCTGACAAATCTTTTAGCTATTTTTCTTACTTTTTTTGCTGTATTTGCATGAAACTGTATGGTTATATGGAGCATGAAAATTGAACTTACATGCAGTGGCCTGGAGCTTACTGTGAGCAGACAAATGCTGGTTGCTGCCTTCCGACGACCGGCGAGCCTGCCGGGGACTTCTTTATCAAGGATCTCATACCCTATAACTCTAATGGAGATTCCATCACAAAGTGTCAGAACATAAATTTTGACTATAATCAGGTAGAAATAATTTGTCCCAATCAAAAGCTAAAATAAACTCACCTAAATATAACTTAAAATGTCTGAAATTAGAACAAACTCACCCTTACATCAATAATCTGCTAAGTGAAAGTAAAATGGATTGCATTTAAGCAGATCTCAGGCTTGAGCCATGATCTGGAAACGTACTGGGCCAACATCAAGTGCCCAAGCAACAATGGAAGATCCAACTGGCAATACAAGTGGAAAAGATACGGAGTCTGCTCTGGCTTGTCCCAACCAGACTACTTCAAAACAGGTCTGGATCGCCTGCAAAAGGCAGACATAGCCTTTCACCTCGTCAAGAAAGGTACCTAATCCTCATTTCACCTGAACTAGCTAGTAAGGCCATCTCCAACAACACCATTATACCCCTTTTGCGAAGGTAACGGTCTTCGGTAGAGACAGAAAAATAGCAAGGATGAACACAACGTCAATAATGGCGTCTCACTGTTCACCCGCAAGTAAATACCATTCAGCTAGGGCTCACGAGCGACGCTATTCAAGCATTTGGAGTTATGTTGGAAATGCCCTAAAAGAACTAGATCCTTAACATTCACTGATCATCGGTTGTGTTGTTTTGCAGGAATCCATCCAGATTACAACTTGTACAAGCTTGCTGATATAAAGAGTGCCATAGCTGAAGGCATCGGAGCTGAACCTGTAATAAGATGCAGCAGGGGTCCATTCAATAAGTTCCAGCTGTTTGAGGTGCACATCTGCATCGACAGTGATGGCTCGACGATCATTGAATGCCCCGCAAAGCCTAAGTTCACTTGCTCTGATGAGATACTCTTCCACCCCTTCAGGAGCTGGATGCTTAATGACACCACGAAAGCCTTTGAGACTAATTCTAATATTCGAATGCCCATTGACAAGGAATGAGAGCTAGAAGAGCAATGGAGATTAGTCGTAGAGCCTGCTTTTGAATAAAGAATGTACTTGTCCACAGAACACACGTTCTGATGACAGTCTTTGGCTTGTAATTTACTGTTTCTTTTTCTTCCAAGTTTGAAGGAATATAACCGCGTGTTAAATTATCCAAAAAGAACCCCTCAATCTTTGAGTTAATGTTGTCAAAAATGATAATTTATGGGCGCAACACTGTCAGAAGATTGCTCCTTCACTAAACAGATTGCATTGTCACATTTTAAATATAAAAAAAGGAAGATTTACATACATGCATACCACTATATTATCATTATTATTTTATATATCTAACACTTTAATTATTAATATTATAGTTATACAACATAAATCCTAAGTTTACCTCAAATCTTCCACTCCGTCTCCCACACAGCTCACGACATCAACTGGCACCACCGTCAGCTCCGGCCTCACCTTTATCGTCCTCTTTGAAACCAACATCCTCTCCAAAGTAGGTGGACACAGCAAGAACTACATTTGAGAATGGCTTGTTGGCGATTGAGAATAGATCAAGGACTATAGGTCTTATCCTCTTTATAGGTTTGTGAGGGATGTTGATGCTTGTTTTCTAAAGTGGTGAGAAGATATTTTCACCAGGGGAAGAATTTGATAAATTTTTCGACGTGATTTGCAAGGGGAAGATGATTGATCCAATGCTTGAGTGCATGAAAGAGTGGAATGAATCTCCTCTACCAATATGTTTAGTGATTTTAACTGTGTGAAAGAAGGGTTTTCAAAAATAAAAATTTGCTCTTTCACATATTCCTTCTTGCTTATGTGATATATTAACAGTCTTTGTTGTTTTGTCGCAAAGTTCAAAGCTATGAACGATGGAGGCAAGGCCAGAGATGACAACAGTTCTGTTGACGTCGTGAGCTGTTGTGAGCTATGTGGGAGAGGGAGTGGTAGATTTGAGGTAAACTTAGGATTTGAATGGTATAACTGTAATATTAATATTTGAGATATTAGATATGCAAAATAATAATATAGTGATATATATATATATGTAAATCTCCCTATAAAAAAATATTCCAAAATGACACTCATATTGATAAAATTGTCTTAGAAGAATTTACACGCTCGTGAGATAGACATCACACAAATCAAAACATACCAGCAATAAAAAATCATGTGAGGGGCCAATCCCCTCTTTATGTTATATCAATTAATTTCATAATAACTATTATTAGTTATATAGGGTTTAGGATAACAACAATAAAGCATAATAAAAAATATTAAAAAATTCTATCCTAACCTTATCCTTTATTTACCTGAAAATCATTCACCTAATCTGGCCAAGCTCTCTCCATCTCCAGTTGAATAGCAAAGAAAGCACAAAACCCACCCCTACAGCTTGCTCAGAAACTCCTGCAACAAGCCTAACCTACAAATTTACCCTACTCTCTACAGCATTCACAGATGAAGCTCAATCTTTCTAATCTAACACACCGATTAAGCTTTTTGATGTAATCAAATTCATTTAAAAAAAAAAAAAGAATTTGTACCTCACTAATATAAGTTTCTGCAACTCTTCATCAAAAAATGAAATGAACTGGGCTAACAAGCATATTTAATTTACATTTTAAAGAGGAAATCAAAAGGAAAATGGTTTTTTATACACGAATGTTTCTTTGATTATTCAGCTGACTTCTTGCCTTGGATGTGAAGCAGCCATAGAGAAGCCCGAAAGTCCAGTAAATCAAGTTGACATTTCTATTGAATTTGAACAAAGAGAGAGCAGACAGCGTTCTTCATTCCTTAAATAACCTTAAACTCTCAAAATGCGAGTTAATTTGTAGACCTGTCATTATTTAGAATAAATATAGGGCTTAGGGAATTCTAGAAATCTTGTAGAAATGAAATTTTGATAATCTTGAGTTCTTCCAGATAGGGTTATGAGGACACCTGAGCACTATTATTGGGCAATGTCACTTCTAAGGTGTTTCGGTAACCATCGTTCCTGAAGGGAAAAAAAACAAAAAAAAAAAATCTGGCGCTTAGTGAGAAATACACACACAGATGAATGGGTTAATTAAGAAAATTTGGGGTCAGGGCAGGATGGTTTTAAATTCATTAGATTTTTTTTTTTTTTTTTGAGATGAGTATATTATATAATCAATCAATTAAAATTTATCTTATATTCATCTTAAAATAAATTTAATAGTTTTAAAATTCATCCTGACCCCAAATGAGAATATTCTGCTCCAAAATTTCTCTATTGGTTAAATACATAGAAAATCACGATAAAATTAGAAGAAAAACAAAGCATACAACACCTTTTACTAATAGTTCTTAGCAGATACTGATCTCTCCTCAGCACTCCAAGACCACCATACATAGCTTCATCTGTGTTCAATATTATCTGCAACAAATTGCATCAACAAGATTACAAAACTAGGCAGAATATGGCAACCCATACAAATGAAAGTAAAAGCCAACAACATGGCATCAGTATCTTTATCCTGGGAAGAGCAGGGGACAATAAGGTCCGCTGATGGGCAAAGAAATGTCAAAAACTAAATCAATGAGCAAGCACTGATTTGTTCAATCCTGTCCAGAGGATTGCAAGAGAAATATAAGCACTTACAGATATTTTACATCGTATTAACAAAGCAAGAGTTATTGAAATTCGAAAGGATTTGATGTAGGATCTAAACCATCAAATTTAGAGAAATATAGGACGTGCAATGTAAGCTAAAGAAAAACTCACTTGGAATTTGAATCAGGGAAGGATCGTGGAACCCACAATTCAACCAAATTTTATAAGAATTCTTGAGCACATGTATTAAGAGTTTTAACCATTGGATCAAATATCTTATGACCCTTAGATTGTAATTCATGTACCTCCTCTTCCTATCTAGCTTCCAATCCCTCTTGGGACCTTTTTTTTTTTTTTTCCTTTTTTTAATAATAACATTGATTTATTTTAATTATAAGTTTTTTAGAGAAGCCTATAAATACTTTCAAACTTTGAACAAAATTAAGCAAAAAATTCAATTTTTTTTTTCTATTTTTCTACTTTCATGCATGATATCAAAATGATATTAGGGCTCCATCTCCCAACTTCTATTCTTTTTATTTCTCCCTTTTTGTTGAAATTCTTTTTCTCTTCATTATAGCATATTTCTTTGACTTGACTTCTAAGAAGTCTGACAATCATGAATGACACAAAATAGACTTAATAAGAACTCTATGGGCTATGATGACCCAAAGTTTTTACTTTGGGATGAAGTGGATTCCATTATCATGATATAATTGTGGAATCCAATAATGCTTGAAATCAGGGGGCTATATATGTATTCTTTACCACAAAAGAATTTTAGAATGACTTCAAATAAATATACTCTAAAGTGAAGGATTGCTGCCCACTAGATCAAAATCAAAATTTGAGCAACCAAGTGAGGTAGCCTTCTTGTTATTAATTGTTTCAATATAATAAAGGTTTTTTAATTTGAACCAGATTATTATCAAGATTCCAAGATGACATGCTACGATGATGCAATTATTCTCAAGCTATCTGTAGAGAAAGAACTGGTATTTGACTTCTTTGCAAAACTCAATAACTTCGACCAAGTTGTGCTCAATTTTAAAGCAAATAAAACCTATCACCATTAAATGAGGGTTTTCGTCATATAAGCCAAAAAAAGAAAGAAAGTGATAGGAAATACTTGTATTTATAAGTAATCCTAGCGCAAATCAGTAATCAACAGCAATTTTCTTGCTGTCCACAGCAGAAAAATAGCCACCAAAGAGAAGAAAATAGGGAAATTTCACTAAAGATCTGAGAGAAAACGAAGCAAGAACTTGTATTCCAATAGTAGATGCAATACAACAAAGAAAGATACACTTTTCCTTCAATTAGAGAGGAAGGAATTACTCTCCAACAATCTCCGGCAACGCCAAGAGCCCAAACAAGAAAACCTAGAAGACGAATCCTTTTTCAAAATCAAGATGAAAACCTCATTCCCTCATAACTCCCTCTTAATACAATCTAATTCAAATTAAACGCAAAAGGACTACTCTACCCTTCCTTCTCCCTCCAAAAATACTTAATCCAAGTTTGAATTGCACGTGGACCCCACTCCCTGGCTCCCTCTCTCTTCCGCCTGGCGTGGTGTCCGTCTTCGGTAAAACTGGACCGGCTGGGCCGGTCCAGGATGAGCCGGTCCAAGCTGGACCGGCGTAACAGAAAGATGATAATGCTCGATGCTCAGGTTTCCAAAATATCTATTATGACAACCATCAAACTTCATGGCAACTCCCTCTGAAGCATCCAAATAGAACAGCAATGACTCCACAGTAAACAACAATAATATCAGATTCATCCCAAATTTACATAAATCGATAAAAAATGTTTCAAAACTATCATTGCTTTCATCCTAAATAATATTTTGTTGAAGTCAAAGAACCCTTTGAAGTCTAAGCAAAAGAAAAATGGGATTGAGTTAAAAAAGTGATACACAAGATGGTATCATATTTTTGTTGGAAAGAGAGTAGATCCTTTCAAGTAACTCATTCTCCCCCAACTTAATTCATATATTTAGGAAAATATCACCTTGCTAGAGATCGTGGAAATACCATCATTTCCATACATGTAATAGGTTTGGGTCACATTTCAAAATCATGTTCTTCCACTCCCTAAAAATAATGATAGTTCAATTCATATGCATTTTTTTTCAAGTGGTAGAGGCAATTTTTTTTCTTTTGCAATCTTATGAATTTCTTTGTCCCTAAAAAGTACGAGCTTTTTGAACCATATCAATGGATTAGAATAAGGATTGTAATATTTCACACTTATAACAAACTAGATTCTTTTTTTTTTTTTTTTTTTAATTCAAATTCCCAAATATTTTTTGATAATAGAAATATATCATTTTTGGCTCAAAAACAAATTCGAAAAAATTAAGTTAGTGGCTTTATTATTATGATTAGAAAATGGGATAAGAGCATCAATAACTCCTAGATTTAAGAAACCCAAGTGTTTAGTTTGGTTTATCATTCGTGATGTGTTATTTTGTTTATGGAATTGGTTTTCTCTTAAGCTCAATTTGTCCAAATTTGAGAGACTCGTTTGTTTGCATAAGCATACCATCTCTAAAGAATCTTTTAAAAAATGCTTTAATTCACTTGGAAGGTGAATGCTTTTCTTGCATCCTCAATCAACTTCTGATACACTCTAAGGAATTTAATTATACAAAATACATTAATATAAAAAATTCCCCATATTTTAGTAGTCATTCCTCTCCTTCAATTAATTTTCTTTGTTCTTCCTCCATGGCTTTCCCTTCCCGCCTCAGTTTATGTGAGCTTTCAGGACAGGTCATGACAACACCACTCTCCATCCATAATGATACAATTTGCAATAACACTTGACTAATAAATAGATTGAATTCATTCAGTCATTCTTTGGGGCCTTTGAGAATGTTTGGAAAACTTCCTAAAATATGCTCATAATCCTTTCTTGATCCCAAAAATTGTCTTTTAAGTTTACAATGATTCATCTATCCTTTTCAATAAACCAATGTGATTCTTCTATTTTAAGCAAATTGCTTCCGAAGTGACCATGCCACTAGAACCCACTTACACCAGGCTCATCTACCCTGCCTATTTTTGATTCCTTGCTTTATTTAATCATACTTATTGGTAGCCTTCAGTTCTCACCCACTCATCCGTTCAGTCGAACGTTCCCTAGAGAACCCCCCTTTATAACTAAATAATTACAAGAAAATCCGAAGCAGCAACATTGAAGACAACTAGTAAATAATTGAGGATCGTTTTAGAAGTTATGAACATAACCACATTTGTATTCTGCTCTGTGAAATGAGCTTAATAAGAGAAGGTAATCAGCATGTGGCATTCAGGTCTTCTCTTGAAACTTGAAATAGAACATGATGGGGACATCCGATTTCGACACGTGTACCATCGCCGACGCCAGAGATCGACGGCCACGATCATGATTTATATTTTCATCATTTTATGTAGATGCCGGAGATCGACGGCCACGATCATGATTTGTATTTTCATCATTTTATGTAGTATTTTATTTTTATGTTTTTCCGTTTTTACCCTTATGGGTATTTGGTAGCTATTGTAGCCCAAGGGACATTTTAGTACTTTACTTTCTTTGTCATTTTGAGGCCTATTTATATGGCCCTTTTCTCATGTAAGAGTTAGTTTTT